AAAAAAAAAAAAAAAAAAAGAGAGTTCATATACAATTGGCCTAGATTGTCTTTGCTCTACAGAAGAGAAAGTATTGCCATCTTATCTTTTGATAAGAAAGGCTTCCTGTGCTAGGGCATGGTATTTGATATATCGTTGCCCATAAGGATATCCTAGGGTGCTTTCTCAAGATACCAAGCTGGACCCTACCGCAAAGATTCTCATTCAATAGGTCTTGAGTAGGGCTCTGGCATGTGTATTTTACAAAAGAACTTCAGGTGATCTTGATAGCTACCTCTGGTTGAGAAGCACTGCTCTCTGAGAACCGCATGGAATTCCTTCCATTACACTGTCCTAGAGAAGCCTTGAGGACCCCCTATGGTGTACCTTGAGATCAGGTGACCTGAGATAACTTGGGCATCTCCTACAATCCATATCTCCCCAACACATAAACTCTTTGATCTCTTTTTCACATGCGAAGCACCGATGATGCCAGCCTGTGATGAAACAGAGTCCTAAATATCTTTCTGTCTTTGATCTTCATTTTAGATGGAGTGTGATGATCCGAGAGACTCCCAGACAAACTCTATTGCTAAGAGGGCAAGTTGAAATGGATGTACCCAGATTTGAGGTAATTACTGCCCAGATATAATTCAGGCCAACATCTTTATTACACAGTGAAATAATAGGTAAAATCCAGAGCGAAGCTATTGTATTGCCCATGAGCTTGATGAGAATGAGATCATTGAAAATTGGGGACATGTGCTGGGCATGGCTCAGAGGTTGATCATTGACTTAGGATCCAAAAGATCACGGTTTGATTCTCAGTCAGGACACCTGCCTGGGTTGTGGGCTCAATCTTCAGTCAGGGGTGTGCAGGAGGCAGCTGATCAATGATGACTCTCTCATCGCTGATGTTTCTATCTCTCTCTCTCTCTCACTTTCCCTTCCTCTCTCTGAAATCAATAAAGATATATTTAAAAAAAGAAAGAAAATTGGGGACATGTCAATCAGCAGCTATTTACCAAAAACTGTGATAGGTACTGGAGATATAATTTATTCAGCCATTTACTTATTTATTCACTCAAAATATTTATGGAAAATTTTATGAATTAATTACTATGTATGAGATACTGTTCTAGAAGTTTTTTTACAGGTTAATTGGTAAAGAAGAATGACACAGTCCATGCTGTCATGGAGCTCATAGTCTAGTTGCTGTGGTAGAAAAATTGTTTTTATAAAGTAGTATGAGTGTTAATATATAAGGAGGTAGCAGGGGTGGGAACACCCAGCAGGTGTATATAGCCAAGTCTGGGGGAAATCGGGGAAAGCTTCTCAGAATAAGTACCATTTTAGAAGAGAGTTAAGGACCAGAGGCAGTTAACCAGGATAGTAGCAAAGAGGGGTCCTGTTCCAGATAGATGGAACAATGTGTGTTGTTCAAAGGCAAGAGAGAGCATGAAATATTCACACAAGTGAAATACATTCATAATGGCTGAGGCATAGGGGCCAGGGAGGGTATATATAGGAAGAACTACTAAAGATGAAACTGGAAAAGTAATCAGGGACAGGCCAGGAGGAACCTGGTAAACAATGGTAGGAAGTTTGAACTTTTATCCTAAGAGCAATGAGAATTATAGAAGGTTTTTAAAATCTAATTATGAACATTTTCAAACATACAGGAAATTTTAAATGGTAGATTCTACCATTAATATTTTACTATACTTTATCACAAATCTATCCATCTATCCATTCTACTATCAAATAGAAAGGTTTTAAGCAGGGGAGTTCCATGGTATGTGGAGAAACAATGGAAGGAATAAAGACTAGAAGCAAGGGGGAAAAACAGATGCTGTAATTATCTAAGCAAAAGATAATGATGATTTGGACTGGTGAAGTGATAGCAGGGATAAGGAGAAGTGGACATGTTTAAGATATATTGAAGAGATAGAATCATCAGGACTTGGTAGACACAAGTTGTGGTTAAAATTACAGACTCAAGAACCAGACTACCTGGAATTGAATCTTACTCTGCTACTTATCAGCTACCTCTTTTCCTGTGCCTCCGTTTTCTGTTCTGTGAAATGGGGATAATAGGAATCCTTATATCATAGGTTGTTATAAGGACTACATGAAGAGAGCATGGCACATATTAAGTACTGTATAAGTGCATACTGTTATTAATACTAATATTATTATATAAGAAGTAATACTCTGGCATTGGAAAATGTGTGTTCAAATCCAAGATCTATTATTTACTAGCTATGTAATATGAGATTGTTTCTTTGAAACATGGAACAAACATTACCATCTTTATATGAGTTTTAAATACTAATTTAAATGAGAGGAAACAGTATATATCTTATCTTTAGAATGACCACAGAGCTAAGGTTATCTATGAGGATCTTCAAAAGAATTCATGATTATGATTATTTCCAGAGAGGCCGTTGAATTTATGGTAAAGAGTCAGTAAGAAATAATGAGGGAATGAGATGGGCAGCGTGTTATGTCACAGTGCTAAGGTTCCAGGGCTGAGCATTTCTTTTCCCCCTAGGCTGCTGCAAGCCAACACTTAGACTCTGCAACTACTGAGTTGAACAAAATCCTGAAGGCCAAGTATCCTACAGAGATGATCATTGCAGCCAGGTCAGTCTTCCTTTGGTTCTCAACTTTTGGGGGTTTTTTGCCCCTCGTGTGCTGTCTTCAGTGAGGGGTAGGATTCATTTTAATAGTTTGGGGTGTTGAGACCAAGGAAAGTATAGTAACTCTTCACTTAACATCGTCAATAGGTTCTTGGAACTGAGGCAAAACAATATATAATGAAATCAATTTTTACCATAGGCTAATTGATATAAACATGAGTTAAGTCCCTGCGGCATCTCATCAATGTTATAACAGAGTGACATTGAGCAAAACGATGTTATTTGAAGGTCTGCTGTATATGTTAATCATACCAAATCAAATTTCTCCAATCTCAAACCTCCTGAATAGAAAGATAAGGATAAAAAAGATGAGATTGAGGTAATGGCTCCTGCTACTCCAAAAGATTTTGAAAAAGGGAAGAATTCTGATCTCACCTCCTCCCATGACCACATCAAAACTACAATTACAAAACAACTGCCTTGGCCATGTGGCCCAGTTGGTTGGGTGTTGTTCCATGCACCAAAAGGTTGCCAGTTTAATTCCTGGTCAGGACACATGCCTGGGTTGTGGGCTCAATCTCCAGTAGGGGACATGCAGCTCTCATGTCGATCTTTCTCTCTGTCTCCCTCTCCCTTCCTCTCTCTCTAAAAATAAATTTTAAAAATCTTTTAAAAAATTATAAAACAACCATTATTGAGAACCACCCAAAGGCTAGCTGAATAAAATTTCTATTACTAACGATGTAAAGAAAAAGCCATGTTGAGACTGTAGAAGAGATGGATACACGGAATGAGCAGGTCCCTCACTCACAGTGTGGCAGTTTTCAACAGGAAGGATAGTTAGGCTGCATTGGTCCCATGTGAGCATCGAGGAGTTCCAGCCCCACACTGAAATCACCAGCCCAGGGATCTAGTTCCAAGAAGGAAGTCCCTGTAACATCTGGCTAAGAAAACCAGTAGGGATTGTGGCTGACTGATATGGAGGGCTACTGGAGTCCCAGATGCTGCAGGTTTTAAAGGTACTGCACACAAACTCATGTGCTCACAAACTCACTCACTCTGAGCTCCAGCACTGGGGCAGCAGCTAAAAAAGCACCAAAGACATACAGGAAGGAGATAAATTGATTAGCTCCAGGGCAAGGGATGAATGGACAGGGGTCAGGGCAGCTCTCCCTAGGACGGAAGTGCTGGCAGAGGCCACTGCTCCTTTTTTAAGAACCTCCCTTTACTCAGCAGGCAGGTGCAGGTAGATGCCAGATATGAGCTCTCCATTAACTTGGTTTAGACAATTCATCTCATCCTAGTGATTTGCTGAGGCCTTGCCCCACCCAATTCATAGTCCCAGATGAAACCACTTCCAGCAGCTTTTCCACACAAGTTGCCTTCCATAGCTTGTATTGTGGATTTTCTTAAAATTTCTCAAAGGTCCAAAAACACCAAACAAGCAGTAGCTGGCCTTGGCATGCCCCAAATCTCTTGCTAAGCAGCTCAAGGCCCAGTACTAGTGGCAACTCTCCTCTGTCCACAGCCTAACAACTCTCAGAGGCCTCGAAGCTCAGCACAGATAGCAACAAATCACAGATCCCTTTGTAACTCCTACCAGGTGGTCACGGGCTGGATAGAGGCAGTGGCTGACTTGGCCTGTACCAGAGCCCCTCCTAAAAGGCCCTAGAACCAACAAACTCAGTGGCCAGCTTCAGATCACATCAGAGTACCACACAAACAGCATCACATATGACACCAGATTTGGCAGGCACCAGAGCCCTGGTAAAGCAAATCCTCCTCAGTGGGATCAGCCCTCCGCACAACAGTTTGCCCACTATAGTCATGGCCATTTCTCACAGTCATCCACACAGTCAATCACATTCACTCACATGCCAATAGCAATCAAGGTTCAACTACAACAGGAGGGCACACACAACCAATACAAGGAACACCAGGCTCAGGTGACCAGGGAGTCTGAGCCCCACATGACACCTATTCCATAAGGCCACACTGCCAAGACCAAGAGACATAGCCAGTCTACGTAATACATAGAAACAAATAAAGGAAGTCAGCCAAAATTAGGAGACCAAAAAATGTGTCTCAAATGAAAGAGCAGGACAAAACTTTTTCATGTCTCAGGAAAAGAACTAAATGAAATGGAGACAAGCAACCTAACAGATGCAGAGTTCAAAACACTGTTTATAAGAATGCTCAATGAGGTTAAGGGAGGAATAGACAAACTCAATGAAAACTTATAAAAAACATTTAAGAAGAGATTGAAAACATAAAAAAGAACCAGTCGGAAATAAAGAATACAATAACAGAAATGAAGAATACATTACAGGGAATCGACAGTACAGTAGATAAAGCACAGGATCAAATCAGCAATCTGGAAGACAAGATAGTGAAAACACCCAATTAGAATAGCAAAAAGAAAAGAGTATTTTAAAAAGTGAGGATATTTTAAGGGACCTCTGGGACAACATCAAGCATACCAACATTTACATCATAAGGGTACCAGAAAGAAGAGAGAGAGAGAGCAAGGGATTGAGAACCTATTTGAAGGAACAATGACAGGAAACTTCCCCTACCAGGTGAAAGAAATAGACATACAAGTCCAGGAAGCACAGAGGGTCATAAACAAGAATAACCCAAAGAAGCCCACACCAAGACATTTCATAATTAAAATGCCAAAGATTAAAGGCAAAGAGAGAATCTTAAAAGTAGCAAAAGAAAAGCAACTACTTATATACAAAGGAACTCCCATAAGATGTCTGTCAGCTGATTTCTCAACAGAAACTTTGGAGGCCTGAAAGGATTGGCACAAAATATTCAAAGTGGTGAAAACCAAGGACATACATCCAAGATCACTCTACCCAGCAGGTTATCATTTAGAACTGAAAGAGAAATAATTTCCCAGACAAGAAAAAATTACAGGAGTTCATTGTCAATAAACCAGTACACAGAAATGTTAAAGAACCTTCTTTAAGAAGAAAAGAGAAGATAAAAAATATGAATACAAAAAATTGGAAAGGAAAAAAATTCTCATTGACAAAGGCACACATATAATAAAAGCAGTGGATCAACCAAAATATAAAGCTAGTACAAAGGTTCAAAGGTAAAAGTAGGAAGATTGTGTGTAATTACAACGATAAATTAGGGGATACATACAAACACACAAAAGAAGTAACAAATAATGACAAAAACATAAACATGGAGAGGATAAGTCAAAATTGTAGTGATTTTAGAATGTGCTCAAAGTTAAAAGACCATCAAATTAAAGTAGACTGCTATAAATATAGCTTGGTGTATAGGAAGCATATGGTAACTACAAATCAAAAATCTACAGGAGATATAGAAGAAAAAAAAGAGAAAAAGATCCAAACAGAACACAATAGAAAGTCATTAACATACAAGAGGAGAGAGCAAGAGAATAAGAAAGAACATAGAAGAACTACAAAAACAATCAGAAAACAATTACTAAATGTCAGTAGCTAAATAACTATCAATAACCACTTTAAATGTAAGTGGACTAACTGCTCCAATAAAAAGAAATAAGGTAGCTGAATGGGTGAAAAAACAAGACCCATACATATGCTGCCTACAGGAGACCCACTTCATATCAAAAGACACAGATACACACAGACTAAACATAAAGGGATGGAAAAGGTACTTCATGCAAAAGGAAACCAAAAAAAAAGTGGGGTAGCAATACTTATATCAAACAAAATAGACTTTAAAACAAGGACCACAATAAGAGACAAAGAAAGTCATTTAATGATGATAAAGGTATCAATCCAACAAAAGAATATAACTCTCATAACCACCTACATCCCCAATATAGGAGAACCTGAATATATAAAGCAAATTTGACAGACATAAAGGGAGATATTCTAGTAATACAGTCATAGTAGGGGACTTTAATACCCAATTGACATCAATGGATATATCATTCATACAGAAAATCAACAAGAAAACAGTGGCCTGAAATTACACAATAGACCATATAAACTTAATGGATATTTTTAGGACAGTTCACCAAAAAGCAGCAGAATATACAGTTTTCTCAAGTGCACATGGAACATGTTCCAGGATAAACTACATGCTAGGCCACAAAACAAGTCTCAATAAATTTAAGAAGATAGAAATCATGTCAAGTATCTTCTCCAATCACAATAGTATAAAACTAGAAATTAATTATGAGAAGAAATCTGAAAAACACACAAACATATGGAGGCTAAATAACATGTTACTAAACAATGAATGGATTAACAAGGAGATCAAGGAAGAAATAAAAAGATGTCTTGAGTCAAATGAAAATAAAAATACAACAAATCTATGTCATACAGCCAAGGCAATTCTAAAAGGAAAAATTATAGCAATACAGGCCTACCTCGGGAAACAAGAAAAATCTCAAATAAACAATTTAACCTTACATTTAAAGGAAATAGAAAAAAAAGAACAAATAAAGCCCAAAGTGAGTAGAAGGAAGGAAACAATAAAGATCAGAGGGTAAATAAATAGAGTCAAAAAAAAATAGAAAAGATCAGTGAAATCAAGAGCTGGTTCGTTGAAAAGATAAACAAACTTGATAAACCATTAGCCAGTCTCATCATGAAAAAAAAAAAAAAAAAAGAGG